AGTGTAAATCGATGCCTTTACAGCGATTTGATTTTTTTTTTAAAAAAAAAAACTAATTAAAAATCGCTGCCAATGATTTTTTTTTTAAAAAAAAATTGAATCAATTTTTCTTTTAAATAAAGCAAAAAAAAATTTAAAAAAATAAAAAATTTGATGGAAGTCGCTGCAGAAGCAGCAACTTATAGAAAAAAATAATATTTTTTTTTATTTTGAAAATCACTCCGTGTGGAGCGATTTGTTTAATTTTTTTTTTTTAAAAAAAGAAAAGACAATTTTAAGAAATCGCTGCTATGGCAGCGATTTCGCTTTTTCAGAAGGTACAAGTCGCTAGCGTTTCTATCGTTTTAGTTTTAAAAGAAATTGATATGCCCTTTTGAAATTTTTGACAATTTTTTTTACCCTTTTAACTCCGCACTCGAGAATAATGGACATTGAATTTCCCCCCTTTAATTAATACTCCATCCGTACGTATCTTTATTTTTACCATTTATTTGATATATAAAGAAAAGATAATTAATTTTTCCATGTTTTATATACCCGTTATTCTCCAAATCTTCTTAAAGACCTAATATTAAACATCAATTACTAAGAATAATACCCATGTCAATAATTATTTTCTTAATAAATATGTCACATTAAATAGTTACAAGTAAAATTGAATATAGCAAATATTAACAAATAAATGCCCTTTCCCTATCGAAGATGAAGCTTTTCAAACGGAACAAGTTATAACACGATAGAAGTCTTAATTATTAAATTAGGTAATCAGCTACCTATTTATTCAAATTAAGAAACAATTTTTTATGCGACTTTACTCTAAGCCGTCAGTCACATTATAACTAAATGCATTACCAATAAATCCAAGGTAGACGATTAATGACAAATATTTTTAAACTTGAGCAATTTTATATTACTGCACCTACAATACATATTTATTTCATTCTGGAATGATCACGAGTAAAATGAGAAATAATTAGCATATTCTTCTCTAATATAATTATATTTATAATTACTTATAAAACCATTTAGACCACACACGATTTGTCAATTAGAGCTCAAAATTATAAAATAAATGGAGCATGTAGGTATCCAAAAAATTTCAAGTTGAGACACAAGATGTAACATTAAGGCGGCAAACCTTACAACTAATTGTCGGTTTAATAATATTATTATTTTGTAAGCACATTCATCGATCCAAATAAAACAAAAATTAAAGTTCCAACTATGCATATCAAAGGGCCTAAATATCTGAGATATGTTAGGTTTAGTGGGTCCTTTTAAGGCTGCTAATTAATTATATCATATTTATCTTGATCCCGACCAAACTGCCCGAGATAATTCAACGAATTAAGGGGTCGATTGATTTGAATAAATAATTTGCTATACTGGAATTTTGAATTAGTTGTTTTCGTCTTATATTTTAATAAAAATTTCATCTATATAAAGCATAATTTTTAATAATAAATTATTTGGATAGAAAATATTCTTCATTAACGTAAAGACGTAAAAAAGTAGACGTATAAAAATAATTTAAAAGGGATACTTTTTTCATTATAATTATTTTATCTAGAAATGAATTATTTATTAGTTATTATTCCACCCAAGACAGAATTAAGTTATTCCATTTCAATACTATTTACTCTATTAATCATGAAATAATTTATCCTAAATTAATCTTAATAAACAAACAAGAAATTAAAAAAAATTAATTCACTTTATCCATTACCCCAAGTGTGTCTTTGAGGTGTGTTTTATAAATTATTTTTACGATATGGTTTTGGTCATCTTCAATGGGAGAAAAAAAAGTTCTGAAATTTATAAAAGTGCCGTACAAAGAGCTTCACTTCTTGTTATAGATTTTAAAGAGTAAATTATTAAATAAATTAGGATTATTGATTATTATGATCTAGTTTAAAAGTTAAATGATAAAAATTGTGAAATATGAATATTTAATTCATATTAAAAATGTTACCTGAGCAATATCGCCGAGCGTTACCATGACTGAGTCGACTTGAGGAGTGACAGATACCCAACTGGAATCAGCCAACATGGAGTACTTCCGGCAACGTATTTGGTAATTTAACCCGACTACATACGGGTAAATCCGACCCGGTGAAAGTGGCATGTTATTTGAGCCGCTTTCGGTGTCGGATATCCACATCAATGAACAGAGGCGGGTCCTATCTTCTCTTACCGGGTTCTCAAACCCAACAGCACACGCCAGTTCTTCAATCAACTCCAACCCTAGTTTTTCCATTTGGGAAGTAAATTCATGAATAGAACTAAATCCTAATTCCATTGAACTTGACTCGTCGAGACAAATTGACCGGCCGCTGACAACGTCATCGTCGTCATCCTCATCATTATCGAAGCCTAAGGGCCAGTTCTTCGGAAAGCAGAGTTGTTTCTCATCATTGAAAATGGATGCAGATTCCGATTCAGCTGATTGAGCGAGGTGAGAGGAGATGGAGTGTTGTGTGAGCTGGAAGAAACCGTGTTGTTTTGCCGCGAAAAGGAGGTTAGAGTGAAGAATTGATTTTGCATCGGAAAGAGAGATGAGATGAGGAGAGACGGTGGTTGGTGGAGGAGATTGACGGCGACCGGGAAAGGAGAGGGAAAGGGTGGGTGGGATACGGTGGAGAAGACGAGATAGAGAGTCAGCGGCTTCAGAAGTGGAAAGGAGATTATGATTAGAGTGTGCCGATGGAGTTGGTGGGGGAGCAGTAGTGGTGCCATAAGGGGTAGGAAGATGATGGAGGTGGTGTTCCTGTGTAGACGACGCCATCTTTTGATGCTATGGAGTTTCTTCTTGATATGCCTACTCTATATATAGTTGAGACAATTAAGTGGACAAGGCAGGTGGCTCATATATATTTTGAGGACTAAATTATTACTCTAAAATTAAACCAACATTCTGAAGGAATGATGAGTATTGTTTCTTGCTTCCTATTTAAATTTAATTCGGGTTCAAATTAAAATATATAGAATTTTTTTTTTATAATGTCAATATTTTAATATTTAAGAGGGCTCATTAGTAATACTTTTAATATTTAATAAAAATGTCAAATTTTAATTTGTTATGTATTTTATTTATGTTTTTTTTTATTTAAAAAATATAATTATTTAATAACAAACGGGAGAGAATATTTCAAAAAAAAGGATAAAGATCACTTAATTTTCTCATCAGTTACATTTTCAAATAAAATTTAAATTTTGTTCTTTTTTTTCTCGAGAATTTTTATCTTTTTAAAATTATATTTATTTCACAATATATTCTATTTATATTTATTATAGTTTTTTATTAGTTTGTATTCATTCCAATAGGTATGCTGAATGTATCTATATAGTCATTTAAGAAATATATTTGTATTCATATATTTTTTTCTCTATATAGTCATTTTTTTCTTCAAAAATCTTGTATGTATTCATTTCAATATGTATTTTGTTTGTATTTCTATTTATTCTAGGTTTTATTTAGAATTTTGTATAATAATATATAAAATACAAAAAATCAGTATGATGAAAAAGTGAATGAAATATAAAATTGAAAAGAAATAATTGAATATTTGGTGTACTCATTCTTAAATAAAATACATAACTAGTTGACATACCTTTAGAATGAATACAAATTAGAAAAAAATGTCAAATTCAGAAACAATGCAACATAATTTTTGAATGAATACAACTATTAATTGTAAAAATAAATACTGACTGAAAAAGTATCAAAATTCAATATATACTTCCAAATTTATGAATATAAAAAACAATAAAACTATGAAATACAAAAATAAATACTAAATGTGATACATTGACATAACTATCACAAAAAAAGAACAGATATACAAAATGAATTAAATATATGAAATACAATTCCAAATCTATGGATACAAAATACAATAAAACAATGAAATACAAAAATACATACTGACTAAAACAACAACAAAATTCAATATACACTTCCAAATCTATGAATACAAGAAACATTAAAACTATGAAATATAGACAATCAAACTCATATAATGTGTTACAATGACATAACTAACAAAAAAAAACACAAAATACAATAAGTATATGAAATACAAAAATAAATCCTAACTATAACATAATAAAAATTCCATATACACTTCCAAACGCATTGTAACATGAATTTTTTTGAATCTTAAAAATCACTAAACAAATTAAACTAAACATGCAAGACACAGAACATGCAAAAAAAATACCTCTTCTCCAACAAATTGGTCATCTTCAACTTCATGGTTATGAATTTGTGTGGGATTTACTTATATATATATATTGCGATGATTGCACACTAAAATGCTGAAGGGCCTCCATAACTCTCGAAAAACTCAGATTTCCTTTACAGAAAATCATAAGATCATCTTCAAAGATTAAGTAAGTTAGTAGGTTCCTTTTACACATTGGATGAAACTGGAAGTCTGGCAACGTGCTCATTTTATTTAGCTCTCTTGGCAGATACTACATGACGATAATAAACAAAAGAGAAGATATAGGGTCCCCTCTTTCTAAGGCCCCTCTGTCATTCGAAGTATCCATGTCCGTCACCATTCACCTTCACAACCAATTTAGTAGTCGTAACACATACCATTACCAGCCTAGTGAAGGTTTCAGGAAATCCAAAACCTCTCATTGTTTCCTCAATAAAATCCTAACTCACCGTGTCATAAGCCTTTCAAAGATCAATCTTCATAAGACATCCAGCAAGAGGTCTTCCTATTGTAATGTCGAAGTAGATCATGAAAAATTAACACATTGTGTATGAGGGATCTACCTTCCACAAAAGCTGCTTGTGTTTCGCCAATCAAACTAAGGAGCATCTTTTTTAGTCTTGCACACAATACTTTAGGAAAAAACTTATAAATCACATTACAACAGGAGATTGTCCTTAATTGACTCGCACAACAGGAGATTGGTTTAAATTGACTTGCATGCTCTGGAACTGCAATCTTGAGAATCAGGGCTATAATTGTTGCATTTGATTTGTTTCAAATATTTACCACTGTCCAAAAGCTCTAAAACTGCCTGAATCACACCTTCCCCCACTAAACTCTAAGAATCTCTGGAGAAACCACTCCCATACCTATCCGGACCAGGGTTGTTTTTCACATTAGTACTAAACATAGCTTGCTTGACCTCCTTTGTTACATATGGATTGATCAATTCCAATTGTTGTGGAATTGTGAGCATGTGTCCATTCATTAAAAAGTAACAAAATCTTTGACTCTATACCTCTCCTTTTGCCTCAACAACTCCTCATAGTATTCAACAAACACTTTCGCAATACTTGTGTTCTCTGTTTGCATTTTCCCTTTCTCATCTCTAATTTGGTTTGTAGCTTGTTATAGCCTTTTGTGCTTTATGATGGAATAAAAATACCTTGTATAATAATCCCCCCACTTCATCCAATTTGCTTTGCTCCTCCGTTTTAGAAAAACTTCAGCCAAATATGAGGATTTCCTGAACTTTTGGCACTTCTATTTCTCTTGTTCCTGGAGTGCTCTATCTGATGGATTTTGGTGCAACCATTTTTGTGCTTCTGCCAATGCCAATGCCATCCTTTCCTCCTCTGCCTCAATGAGTATGTTCCTAAAATTCTCTTTATTAAGCTCCTGAAAACTCTTTAAACCCTAAAGGCTTTTTACTACTTGGAACATACTGCACCTTCCCCTTGAATTTTCCATTCTCGTTAAACAATATCGATAAATGGATGTTTGGCCCAAACATTACAATATTTGAAAGCTCGTTTTGAACTGTTAAGTTTTCCCTTCTTGGCCAGTTTTAATGGTCACTAATACCCCCCATAAGGAAATTAACATTATACACCGGCATAGTGTCTATCCACTCTTTATTTACAAATGCCCAATAAATTTTTGAGAAAATTATGTTCTCTCCATGCTTATCATTCCATGTGTATCTATTTCCACCATATGGTAATTCTATCAATTCATAGGCTTCTATACATGCCTGAAAATCTACCACCTTATCTAAGCTGATAAGGTTGCCTCCAATTCTATCATCTGGTTGCAAAACTGAGTTAAGATTTCCAAGTATCGGCCATGGGGTATTACTCCCTATACTAATACTCCACAAGTGGTTCCATAACAATATCCTCTCCTTTCTAGTATTAAAGGCATACACAATTGTTAAGTAAAACTCTAATTGAGCAACTATATCCTTAACCCCATATGTTAAACTCTGTGTATCTCCAGTAATCTTATTCAATTAATAGTAATCAGATTTCCAGAACAACATTATTCTACCATTATACCGATACTCTAGATTTGTAATATTGTTTCATCCTTCAAACATCTTTTTTGCTACCTGCTCCACTTTAATTATTTGACTTCACTTTCATTTCTAGTAAAGCTACCAGACCTATATTCCTTTTTATAGAGGATTTCCACCTCCCTTTGCTTGTTAGGGGAATTCAAAAACTTGACATTCCAACAAAGTATATAATCCACTCCCGTAGGAGACAATACATTGCCCTTCCACCATGGATTAATAGACTATTGAGTGCTTTTTCACTAGTACTTCCTTCACCCAAAACATTATAAGGATTCAAGTGTACCACATTCTTTTGTCTCTGCTTAGATCTACTATGATGTAGTGGAGTAAGCCACCCCGTTTCTGTAGTGTTCTTTCACTCAGTCCCTTAAGTCTAGAAACCATTTGCATTTCATTTTTCCACTTTGATAAATCTCTTTTTGTCCATATCAAACATATCTGAGGATACTACCTCTCCTCTCTGCACTTATTTCATTGTACCATTCTTCTTTCTGCATTCTATTTCAGAGTGTCCATTTTTTTTACAGTGCTTACATAACATAGGTTTCCAATCATATTGATTTTTTGTTCAATGAGTAAACCTATATCATTCTTAAAATACACCATATTTGGCAACTCAGTATCTACTTCAACTTCAATCACTAATCGAGCAAAGTTTAAACCTATTTTCCGCTCAGTGTTCCTGTCCACCATCAGTGGCTTCCCGATTACGCTTCCAATCTTGTTCAATCCTTTAGGCCCCCAATACTTAAAATCAAGTCCTGGAAGTTTCACCCAAATTGTCACTATTACAACTCATCACGCGTAAACTCCATCTCTTCATGCCAAGCCTTAACTATGAAAGGCTTATTATCAAAATGGTATATCCCACCTTGCAACACCTCACTCTTTCCCTTAGAAGTATCAAACCTCACTAACACTTTCCCATTCTTCAACTTTTTTTGGGAAGATCCACTATAATAATGAAAAAGATTTCTGCATTCTGGTGTCCTCCAAGAGCTTGAGAAGTGCAAAACTTGCGCGAAGAGAGATCGAAGATGAAGATTTTCTGACGCAGTGCGGGCACTGGATGGAAAAGACAGATAAAGGAACAACCCACCGGAAGGGCATACCTCAAGGGGCACCAATCTCCCCCGGCAAAGATCTATCTGCTAAGAAATGGTTAGAGCCTCTTATTTTGATTTCTCGAACTGAGAGATCCATGAATCGGGATCCTGATGCATATAGATACAAATGGTCCAATGGGAGCAAGAGTTTCCAGGAACATTTGGAACAGTCCGTTTCGAAGCAGAAAAGCCGTTTTCAAGTAGTGTTCGATCGATTACGTATTAATCAATATTCGATTGATTGGTCTGAGAAGAAAGATTGGAATATCAATCTCATCGAGATCATCGATCTCATACCAAATCCCATCAATCGAATCACTTTTTCGAGCACCGGCTCTACGAAGTCAGAATTGAATCTTTCTGTTGGCTTTCCCAATTCATTCGTGAATAATAATTCAAGGGCGTGAAGCAAGTACTTCTAGCTGCTTCGCCTGCTTCTTATTATGGCGGCTATGTTTTCATGGCCCGTCGATAATCTGTAAAAAACTCTTTA